CTCTCTCTCTCTTTCTCTCCCTTTACTACTGGTACACTTCGCTGGCTGGGAGAGAACCACAAATCGCGCTCGGAATACATGCTAAAACCCCACCACCTGAAAATATAAGTTATGATCTTGTACCAAACCTTCATTAAAATCATTAAAATATTCCCCCAAAAGGTACAAAATCAAATAAAAGGAGACGGGTAATTTACTGCTAAGCACAATGCCATCTTGGCCTGGATATGGTGTTCCGCTCCTTCCTTTGCACAGTTGCCCCGCAGCTACCAAATGAAATGTCGGTGCCTTGATTTCAGTGGTTAGCATTTGGGACAGGGTTTAGGCAGAAACCCCATCTCTCTGCTGGAATGCCAGAGGCAGGTGGCTCTCAGAGCCAGACCCAGAGTTTCATAACCAGCTTCAGCGGCAAGTGCAATAAAAGGAAGGGGCCCCATTGCCTTTCTTGCTTTAATTAAATTCAAAAGTTTTTGCTAAATGGGTAATTCAGCCCTCTGTGGATTTGGTCGAGGTCGGAGGCATGTGGGGCTGTTTACGTAAGAGTCGCAGGAGGACTGGAGTGCTACGGGCGCTGGGATCTTCTGCTCCAAGGGAGGGGAAATATTCCCATGCGTTGACAGGCGCCGGGCTGTTTGCTGACGCGCCATCTCCCAGTGGCGTTGGGATGGGCCACAGAGAGACTTTTGTCGATACCCTTCTTTGTGGCATGCTGGAGCCATGTCCCGTTTCCTAAATACCTCCAAATATCTCAAGGGCTGTCACGTGGAAGATGGAGCAAGCTTGTTTTCTCCTGCTCTGGAGGGTAGGACTCGAACCAATGGCTTCAAGCGACAAGAAAGGAGATTCAGACTAAACATCAGGAATAACTTTCTGACAGTAAGAGCTGTTCGACAGTGGGATGGTCTCCCTCGGGAGGTTGCAGACTCTCCTTCCTTGGGGGTTTTTAAGCAGAGGTTGGGTGGCTATCTGTCATGGATGCTTTAGCTGAGATTCCTGCATTGCAGGGGGTTGGACCAAATGACTCTCAGAGTCCTTTCCAGCTCTGCAGTTCTATGATAGGCTGCATCAGATATGGCTTTTTATGCCACAACAATTTGAAAACGGGCACCAGAGTGCATGGCAAGGAGCCACATCCTTACCACTTAAAAGCGTAGAGTGTGTTTGTGGCCACCGCAGGATGGAATTGCCATTTTGGCACATGGGAAGCATCTTCCAGATGCAACCAACTATTCAGGCCCCTGGTTCACACGATGCTTACGTGGCAGTTAGACTATGGGCACCTCCAGACTCAATATTTTTTTGTGGGAGCTACACTCCAGAACGGGATGCGGGTGGTGCTGTGGGTTAAACCACAGAGCCTAGGACTTGCCGATCAGAAGGTCGGCGGTTCAAACCCCCACGACAGGGTGAGCTCCCATTGCTCGGTCCCTGCTCCTGCCAACCTAGCAGTTCAAAAGCACAACAAAGTGCAAGTAGATAAATGGGTACCGCTCCAGCGGGAAGGTAAACGGCGTTTCTGTGCGCTGCTCTGGTTCGCCAGAAGCGGCTTAGTCATGCTGGCCACATGATCCGGAAGCTGTACGCCAGCTCCCTCGGCCAGTAAAGCAAGATGAGCGCCGCAACCCCAGAGTCTGTCACGACTGGACCTAATGGTCAGGGGTCCCTTTACCTTTTACACTCCAGAACATTAGGTTTGTGCCTAAACGCCCCTCTTGAATTTGTCCAGTCCTTTGTAAAAAGCCACCTCAGTTGGTGGCCATCACCGCCTCCTGTGGGAGTCAGCGGTGGAGGAAGTTGCTCGGGCGCCTGGGGCAGAGCGCCCAGGGGCGGCACGCACCTTGGGGCTTCCGGAGTCTGCCTGCCACATCCTACTCAACCGCCCTACAGCTGGGGAGGAGGGAAAGGCAGAGGGTGGACCATTTGGGCAGTGTGGAGCCTGCACGCGCCCAAGCCACCACATCTCTCCCAGGAGAGACACATGGCTTGGTTGCACTGCAGGCCCCTGGTGAGTGCCGCCCAGCATTTTGTCACCTCCCTCAGTGGCGACACCCAGGGCAGCCCACACCCACCGCACCCCCTTCTTCAGCCCCTGGTGAGAGTGAATTCCATAGTTTAAAGAAGTGCTTTCTTTTATCGGTCCTGAATCTTATAACATTCGGTTTCATGAAAGGGCTGGCTCATTACGATGACTGCCAGCTGATACGAGGAGGGAGGATGGAAATACAATCTAATCATTTAAGGCTGTAATCAGATGTGCTCCTAGGGTGCGGACGGCCCTTCCCTTTTAAGTAAAATTAACTCTTAGCTAAGAGCACGTTTGCCTGTCCTTGCACCAGGAGAATATGGAAGAGAGAGATACAGTAGATAGAGAACTGCCACATTGTGCATGCAGCTAAGCTGAAAGGGCAGCAGCTGGGGCCAATGAAATACCTATGTGAATAAGGATCTGAAGGCAATAGCTCTATAAATATCGTATAAATTTGCTCCAGTCCTTTTGGAATACTTGATCTTGCTGGTTTTGGCTTTTTCCTGCCAGTTCCGCAAAGTCCATCATCTTCATCTGCCACTACGGTATCTGAAAGATTATTGTAAGTGATTAACATCACTTGCAGGGTTGCCTGAAGAGTTGCAATGAGAAATTGTCCACCTTTCTATATTTTGTTTAAATTTTGAGTCATTTGGCAATGAGTGCAATCAGAATTGGAAAACGTACAAAATGCAATGATATAAAGCAGGGGTCAGCAAACTTTTTCAGCAGGGGGCCGGTCCACTGTCCCTCAGACCTTGTGGGGGGCCAGACTATATTTTGAAAAATAAATAAATGAACAAATTCCTTTGCCCCACAAATAACCCAGAGATGCATTTTAAATAAAAGCACACATTCTACTCATGTAAAAACACTAGGCAGGCCCCACAAATAACCCAGAGATGCTTTTTAAATAAAAGGACACATTCTACTCTTGTAAAAACACGCTGATTCCTGGACCATCTGTGGGCCGGATTTAGAAGGCAATTGGGCCGGATCCAGCCCCCAGGCCTTAGTTTGCCTCCCCATGATATAAAGGTTAATTTTGAAAACCATGAGGCTGGAGGGAAGGAAGTTGATAGGCTCTAAAGAGCCAGGGTGGTAAAGTGGATAATGATGACGTGAATGTATATAATCAAATGGAAAAAGCAATAGCTCTCTCCCTACCTGTGATTCCCAGCAGCTAATATTCAATGGCGTACAGTCATTGACAGTGGTGGTTGAACTTGTAAGAGAGTTGTTCCTTTTGGAACCTTTTTCCAGCTCCACAACATACTTTTCCAAGTGAGGCGACCACAACATGTTTCAGGTGCATTTTATTCTTGCTCTTCCTCTATGAAGCTCAGGGTATCTGCACAAGGTAAGGTAAAGGATCCCTGGACAGTTAAGTCCAGTCAAAGGTGACTATGGGGTGCGGTACTCATCTCACTTTTCAAGCCAAGGGAGCCAGGGTTTCTCCACAGACAGCTTTCTGTGTCATGTGGCCAGCAGGACTAAACCGCTTCTGGCGCAATGGAACACCGTGACAGAAACCAGAGTGCGCAGAAATGCCATTTACTTTCTCGCCGCAGCGGTACCTATTTATCTACTTGCACTGGCATGCTTTTGAACTGCTAGGGTGGCAGAATCTGAGACAAAGCAATGGGAGTGCACTCCGTCACGGGGATTCAAACTTCTGACCTTCTGATCAGCAAGCTCAAGAGGCTCAGTGGTTTAGAGCACAGTGCCGCCCATGTCTGCACAACAGCCCTGAAGGTAGGTGGAACTTCATGGTTGAGTGGAAATTTGAACCCCAGATTTTTTTTTGAAACAGGGTATTGGTGGCATGATATAAGAAGTTTGTTTAACTGTTGCCATCAGTTTCTGAGCAGCATAAAACAGTTGAGGCTGATTGTTTTGAAAGCTTGTTATTTTTTTTCTTATCTTGTGAAAAGAAAGGCGTAATAGGATAAGGCTCAAACCCTGGGCATTCAGTTTCTCACATTATGATTTTAGTATGGATTTCTCCTAATATATTCATGTTTGTAATTTTGTCTATTATACACATTTCTGCAATTTCTCCTATAATAGGGCATATTTGTATAATGTCTTCAGTAATATTCACATTTTTAACGCTCACTTTACTCCGTGCTACTCTAAGCATTTTTATATGCAGTACTTGGCTAGCGAACTGTAATGCAAAATTTGGGGATGTGTGAATGTTACAGGATGACTGTGGCTTGCTTTGCAATTTTGTTTGTTGTTGTTGTTTAGTTGTTTAGTTGTGTCCAACTCTTCGTGACCCCATGGACCAGAGCACGCCAGGCACCCCTGTCTTCCACTGTCTCCCGCAGTTTGGTCAAACTCATGCTGGTAGCTTCGAGAACACTGTCCAACCATCTTGTCCTCTGTCGTCCCCTTCTCCTTGTGCCCTCAATCTTTCCCAGCATCAGGGTCTTTTCCAGGGAGTCCAAAGTATTTGGAGCCTCAGCTTCAGGATCTGTTCTTCCAGTTTAGGAATGTGCAAACAACTAATGCAAGAAGTGCCCTGTTGGATCGGAACAACAGACCATCTAGTCCAGGTATACTGGGCCAACCACAGCAAGTTTATCTTAAATTGCAAAGTGAATCAAGTTTCTTTCTCATCCCTATTTCAGTGTCTGTGTGTGTGTATATATATGTGTGTGTGTGTGTGTGTGTGTGTGTGTGTGTGTGTGTATATATATATATATATATATATATATATATATATATAGGATTGCACTGTAATTAAAAACAAAAGCAAAACGAAACAGGGCAGAGCATCAAGTCTGCAAAAAGTCAGAATTTAAGGGAAGTAAATAACTACATTCCGAAATGAATTAAATCTCAAATGTTGATTTGTTATGAAACCAGCTGGCAGAACTGCAGATAGATTACTCCCTCCTCCTTCCCTACCCTGTATAAATCCCTTTCCAACTCATGTATCATCAGACTTCTCATTTTTTAATTTTTTTTTACTGACAGGGGCTTAGTCCAAAGAAGAACTTTTAATGTGGAAAGAAAAAGTCAACCCAAACTGCTAATCAATGCATACAGACTCGGGAAAATCAGTTCGAATGACCAGAGGGTTCCACTCCTGCCTGGAAGAAAAAAAAGAGAGTAATTTGCTTTACAAGCACATGCCCAAGTTAATACAAAATCCTTGTTTGGGGTTTGCCAGCTGATTTAATCCTGGATGAGCCAATGAAAGCCAACACACACTTCAGGGGTGCTTAAGTTATTCCTTCAAAGTTTCTTGTGGAGTCTGTTTTGCAGAGACAACGCCGGTTGAGAGGCTTCAGTTGGATTACACGTAAGTTTACAAAAAGTGGTTTTTACATATACTTAAGACTGCAGTCCTAAACATATTCCCTTTTATTTACTTTCCCTTCACTTCTTTCTGTATTTTTTTAAGTCATAGTAGTTAAAAACAAAGCTTCGCCAGCTTTTCCAACTGAATACTCTCTAATTCTGCTCTTAATTTATTATTTGAAAGTTTGTGTGTGTTTGTGTTATGCAAGATCACATCACGGTGTGCTGAAAAGTGATATCACATACTATAAACACACGTTGCTGCATGCTGAAAAGGTCATCTGTGCTATGGATTGTAAATGTTTATTGTATTTAGGGCTTTTAGATAACCATTTAGAGGTTTATGGTTTGCAACAAGGCACCCTTCAGTGGTGATGTGCAAAATATGTTAGTTACATTAATATGATGTGAGGTTTCTCTCTGTTCTGCATGATCTCTTCATCTGATTCTATTGTACGCTGAAATTTTCAGCTGTAAACCTTGGTTTACGAACTTAATCCATTCCAGATGTCCATTCTTAAACCAAAACTGTTCTTAGACCGAAGCGTGCTTCCCCTAATGAGGCCTCCCGCCGCCAGTGCCCTTCCACCATTCGGATTCCGTTCTTAGACCGAGGTAAAGTTCTCAAACCAAGACACTATTTGCGGTTTTGCAGAGTTTGTAAACCAAATCGTTCTTAAACCGGACTGTTCTTAAACCGAGGTACCACTGTACAAGGCATCCATTGAGGCTGGTCGTAGTACAGTGTGAAGACTGTATTGTGCTAAAGTAGGGCTGCCTGTCCTATAGTTTCTGTGGTGTTGTGGGCTGGGCAGTTGCACACATTCCCTTTCTGAAAACCATCTTACATCCATTTACAGGACTGGTGTTGGCAACGGGCATCAGTGGGCAGCTGCTGAGGACCTAATGCTCCAGGAAAGGCCCACCACTGATGTTCTTCCTGGTCTCAGGGCCCTGTTGAGCTCTACACCATTGTTCTTCAATCTTGCATTCTCTGAGGTTGATTGACTTCAACTCCTATCATTCCCAACAAACTTAGTCAATGGTTAGGCATCATGGGCATTGTAGTCTAGAACTATCTGGGCACTCAAAGTTTAACAATTCTTCTGTAGGCCAAGGCTTGGAATCATGCTGTAAATGGTGCCCAAAGCTCCAGAATGACCCTGTGTCAGGAGTATTTTGGAGCATTGTAGAAAAATTAATTTAGGTCCTGAAGACATGCAGCACTCATGGGTCAAATTCTGCTGATGCTTGCCACCAGGGTTCAGAGGAGGGGCTTCACCCGCTAAGGAGGGCACTACTAGAATGGCCCCATAGCGTTGTCTCTATATTAATGCACAGAGTATGTGAAACAAGCAAGACGAACTTGAGCTCTTAATACAGGATTGCAAATATGACCTAATAGGCATTACTGAAACCCGGTGGGATGAGACTCATGACTGGAATGGAGAAATAGAGGGCTTCAACTTATTCAAAAGAAGATACCAAACGGGAAGGGATGTGGAGTAGCATTATATGTAAAGGATGGGTACACTTGTGAAGAGATCCATGACTTGGAGCATGGAAAGCAGATTGAGAGTATATGGGCAAAAATTGTAGGGGAGGGAAACAACAGTGACCTTACCGTGGATGTCTGCTATAGACCACCAAGCCAGACTGAAGACTTGCCTAATGCCTTCCTAGAGCAGATTACCAAACATTCACAAAGGGGAGATATAGTAATCATGGGAGACTTCAACTTCCCTGATACCTGTTGGAACTCAAACTATGCCAAGAATGTAAGGTCTGACAAATTCATCTGTTGCCTGGCTGACAATTTCATTTCCCAGAAGGTGAAAGAACCAACAAGGGGATCATCTATCTTGGACCTGGTCCTCATCAACAGGGAGGAACTGATTGACCAAGTGGAAGTACTGGAAGTTTGGGAGGAAGTGATCAGATCCTCTTGGGTTTCATGATCCAGAGGCAAGGGAAAGCTTGAGGAGCTACTGGGTGATATTCCATGGTCAGAAATACTCAAGGAGACGGAAGTCCAAGATGGATGACACCAACATTAACATATTTGTGGTGCTTGGTTAAGACATAACTCTTCCTTTGAAGAAACTATAATAATCATGTTTATTGTTCCTGTGGAGGTTTTCTTTTTTTAGTGGGCTCTTGTAGTTTCATTGTTAAACTGGATGCTTTTTGTTTTGTTTTCTTCCCAATGTGGCCTAGAGATATTTTGTATTAGGTGACAAATGAAATGAATAAATAATAATAATGACTGTTGTTAGTTGGCCCTTATTTATTGTAACACCAACCCCACAATTTCCCTTCATTTGGGGCATTGACTCATGAGAAATGACTCGACTTTATTAGCAGGTTGAATTTTTTGTAGTTTGTGGTGTGTTCCCCTAACTCATGGTCACCTGGACCTGGCTGGTAGCTTGACTGTGATCTTCCTGTGGCAATGTTGAACATGAGACTTCAGCGAGTCTTCTCGCTCCTGGATGCATGATGTTACATCACGGCTGGCACTGAGATGACAACATGATTGAGGATGGGATAGGGAGAGCATGATGGATAATCATCCACCTGATCCAATACAGCTGTGTGTATCCATTTCGATATAATTGCAACACGAATTCATAATGTAAACTCTGATGTAACATTATGCACCAACTCAACTCAACTTAATTACTGTACAAATGAACAACAGAGTAAATGACAAGCAGAATCCAATTAAAGTAATCAAAACTTGGGTGGAGAGGTGGCAGAAGGCGGTGCTTGAACTCCAAAGGAAAAATACGTTCTCGTTTGGACATAATTACTCTTCTTACTTTTTTTTTTTTAACTCAGCCCCCCCGGCGTTTTCTCTTTCTCACTCTCTGTTTCCCTTTTTAATTTCTGCACCTTTCCCTGATAAGAGGAAAAACTAGTCTGGACCTATCTTTTAAGAGCAAATGTTCCCTGGGTTGTGCTCATCCTTTCTGCGTTTTTGTACGTTAATCATTAAATATAATTAATTACAGCATCTTGTAATTAACTTGGAAGGAATAATTATACAAGGGAATGGGTTTGTAACCACATCACATTTCTTTGATTTGGGAGGGAGTAAAAATAGGATAAACGGCTTGTGGAATTAGATGAATAAAGCTGGCTTCATTCACCTGGAGATGAAATGTTGCGCTCAAACTCGGGAGCCAATTTATTCAATCAGCTGAAGGAGGCAAATGAAGCTTTTCCTGCACTGTGCCATTTTGGGGCTGCCAATTGGGAATGATTGCATGTCTGAGTGCTCTCCCATGGGGAAAACAAGTCCCCGAAAGTCCCTGAATGTTGAAAACTAGCATTTTAGGTGTTAATGGAAAAATCCGAGGGCTCCCTTGGACAAAAACAAAGACACCAACCAGGATAACTTAGAGCAAAACAGCACCCTGTAGGCTTGGCCTTTATTGGATACTGTCACGACAGGACTCCCACCCACAACAAGATGAAGCAAGATGGAAGTCCAGAACAAAAGAAGACCCCAACTTTTATTAGTTACTAACCCCCAAACTACACCCCTAAGACTACATCACAACTACATCACAAAAAGGAGGGGTTGAGGGAGGAGTTGTGGAGGTAACCTGAGTGTCTTGTCACCTGGCTGGTCCCTCCTTTCCCCCTCCCCATGAGTCATTTCCAGAGGACAAAAGGGAGTTGGCAGTTTCCTGCCCCCAGAGGGAAGATCTGATCATTGTTCCAGTCCATGTTGAATCCACTCCCATATGCAAGTCCTTTGTCACCTGGATGGTCTTCTGTCTGGGACCATCAAGGTTGTCATGCCAACTGGGTAGGGCTCCTGTGTATGTGCTGGTATGGTTAAGGAATTAGGGCAGTCCTGCATCAAACCATTCCTCTTTGATAGTCCTTCCTTCATGGAGAAAATAAAAGTGGACCAGTGTAAATCTGATGTATGGTTGATTTACTATGAATTTATAACAGAAACGTCGCGTATGTTGTGTGTGTGTGTGTCGTGTTTGTACAAACTGAATGATTGGGGGGCGGGGTTCCTGCAACATAGGGAAATGGTTTGCCCTAATCTATTCCCTGCATCAGGAATGGGGAAACTGTGGCCCTCCAGAGGTTGTTGGAATACAACTTGCATGACTTTTGCCAGGCTAACTGGGGCTGATGGGAATTGGAGTCTATCACACACCCTCAGATGAAAATAGGGACATTCTTCACTCTCCCCCCAACTGACCATCCTTGACCTGCCATTATTTTGGTGCCCCCTGCCCCCCGCCCCCCACAGAACATTTCCACCACCACTGCTCCAACGGGATACACCACAAACACCCTCCACTGTCCTGAGAACTTGATTTTGAGATGAAGGGCAGGATATTATATCTTATCAATCAGATCTGGTGGTTGAATTAAAAACCAATGGGGTGGAGGTTGCTGGGGAAACCTCCTAAGAACTTAGCTCCATGGAAGAAGGGCAAGACAAGTAAGACAATCTGACATGGACTGATACTGACTGGAAGATCTGATGCAGAGGCATGGACAGTTCAATGGTTCACGGAGCTAAGAATCATGCAGTTCAGTGTCTGTGAGGGAAAGTAAAGTAGTCAGTTTGGCTGTGGCTAACACCTCGCACTGGGCCAAGCGGAGGACTGAGAAGCACTCCCGCGAACTCAGAAAACTTAGGCACAGGAAATGCAGCAGGCTGAGGTAAACGTCAGAGCAGTCAAAGGTTTGAGAAAGTAAAACTTGAAAGTCGGGTAAGTCGAGAATGCAGTTTGACAATAAAGGGCTGAGGAAACGGGGAATTTGGTTCAGTTGGGCTTTTAATTCACCTCATGTTTTTCTTTTCATTTTTGGCTGCTCATTTTTCTATAGCCCTCTTTCTTCTCAGGAACTGAACCACCTTGCCACTTTTTTCCTTTTTCCTCCCAACTCCGTTGCTTCCCCTTCTGATCCTTCCCTCCCGTTCCAGAGGGTTGGAAGACCAGTATGACAGGAGGTTCAGGAGGGAAAATCAGTCAACCATCTGTGATGCCCCATCTGAACTATGCCTTTAAAACAGCACCAAAGAAATCTGGGGACCGTAGTTGGTTACGGGTGCCGAGAGAAGTAAAGAGGTTCCTTGCAGAGCTATGATTCCAAGAGTGATTTAAACAATTGATCCCCTTGTGGCGATCACACAGGGTCACCAGACATTTCGTCGTCTATTGATCCCTGTGCCACCACTCTATTCCTCGCTGCCACCACCCAGGCCCTACCAGGTACAATACTGAGTCCAGTCAGGTTTAAATTGGAACATAAACTTCTGTTTATTTATTGCAGTTTAACAAGTGTGTGGTTTCATAAACGGTATTGGTCAATTACAATCATAGGGTGCCTATCCAGACCTATAACTTCCATTACCTGCTCTCCCTCACTAAACCACCTCTCAGATATTTACTTGTCTTCCTAGCTCCTAACTGTTCCTGACTCATCTTATTTCGCTACACTAAGTCAACCTACCCACAGACTGTATCCCAATTCACTCCCACTCCAACCACCCACCCAACTCCCAATGAACTCCCCTCTCACCCCTCCCAGAGCTGGTTTTATAGTCCCTCTGACTCCACCCCCCTGGGTTCTGATTGGGTAACTTGTTTAACTATTTCACCTCCAGCACTCTCATATGTTAACGTCACACCCCTTTCCTAGGGAATTCTGGGAACTGTAGTTCTGTGAGAGGAATAGGGATCTCCTAAACACTCTCAGCATCCTTAACAGGCTACAGTTCCCAGGATTCTTCGGGGGAAGCCATGACTGGTATGATGCTGCTTTAAATGTACAGTGCAGATGAGTGACAGACGACTCTGCTGGATTGCCAACGAAAGGTTACAAAGTGCGTCCATTCTAATTGCAGGCTCTTCTCTTGGTTTCCTGTCTTCTGTGAAACTGCTGACTCTCCTCCTTCTTCCCACAGGGGAATAAGAAATTATTATAGCTGGTCTGACCCATCTTAGCTCCCCACGGTTTCAGACAGGGGTATCTCCAAGCCATACCTGGAGTTGTTGGGGATTGAGATTCTGCTTGCAACGCAGATGTTCTGCGCTGAGCTACAGCCCTCCTTAGAGAACGTCTCTTAGACCACAACTCTTAGACTGCAATCCTCAGCCCACTTACCTGGGACTAAGTCCCGTTGAATTCAGTAGGGCTTACTTCTGAGCAGACGTGGTTAGGATTGCACTCCTATTCGGTCTCTTGTTTGATCCTACAACTGAATCATGTAAGAGTCCTTCTCTCTCTTTCCCTCTTCCTTCCCTCCAGTCTTTAATATTTGTTTTTAATTCTTCTGCTCCCTGATTTTCTCTCTCACGTTGATCATCTTTGTCCTTCAGGAACAAACGTAATTGGCTGCCTCTTTCTCACCAGATTAACTTTAAGCTCCTGTTACTTGCTTTTAAGTGTTGTCATGGTCTTAGTTCTGGCTATCTCTCATCTCGGCTTCTCTCCTCAGCCTTTTTTGCTCTCCAGATATCAATCTTTTATTTTAACCTCACACACGATGTCTTGGCTTTGTTGTTCTTTCTTAATCTCAGCTCTCCATATGCTAAGATGCTATTGATCCAATTGGTGCCTTTGCATCCTTGATTTTAGAAGTTATTGGCAATTCATTTTTTTTTGTTCCTGCTGTTTCTTCCCAGCTAGTAGCTTTTCTTCTGACTGACAGTTTGCAAGGTATTCTTCTTCCCTCTTCCCTCCTTTTATGTTTTTTCTTTTTGTGTGTATTCCAGGTGCTTATGTTCCACTGAATATTCAGAATTTCTAAGAATTTGGGAAGAAAAAGAAAAACCACATGAAGAATGAAAGCAATTAAAATTCATCTTGAAAACAGAAAACTACCTTCAAATGCCTGCGGAAATAGGAAAGTCTTTTCAAAGCGCATGAAGTTCACCAGGGAGGGGGCCTGCCTTGTCTGCAGTTTTCCCCCTTGCAGAGCTACAATTCCCAGCACCCTTTTGTTGTTTAGTTGTTTAGTTGTGTCCAACTCTTCATGACCCCATGGACCAGAGCACGCCAGGCACCCCTGTCTTCCACTGTCTCCCGCAGTTTGGTCAAACTCATGCTGGTAGCTTCAAGAACACTGTCCAACCATCTCATCCTCTGTCGTCCCCTTCTCCTTGTGGCCTCAATCTTTCCCAACATCAGGGTCTTTCCCAGGGAGTCTTCTCTTCTCATGAGGTGACCAAAGTACTGGAGCCTCAGCTTCAGGATCTGTCCTTCCAGGGAGCACTCAGGGCTGATTT